CTTTTGCAAGCTTCCGGCTTCTCTTTCCTCCAGACTTAGGTTTCTCCTCCCTGAAGTTTTCTCCTGCAGCGCAATACCAAGATTTTGCCTTGATGACTTTCAGAGCGCAGGCGTGCTTTCCCTGGAGCCTCTCCCGCGCGGGAGGCGTCTGGCTGGACGGCCGTGGAGCGCGCACAAAGTTAGAACCCCGCTTTGCAGCCCGCGGGCGCGGAGGTCGGGGCCGAGGCCTCGCTGCGGGCGCTGCGCAGAGGAAGCGCCAGCTCCCCGCGGCAGCCCGCCTCCCTGAGCTTGGAACCCTTCTTTCCGGCGGGGAGGAGAGAAGAGTTACAGGGCAGTGCGAAAGGGACAGCGATGATGAAACTTCAGGGTGGTTACTACTGGCCAAGAAGACGGTTGTCTTTGTTCGCTCGTGGAGCTTTCTGGCCGCCGTCTTCGCAGTTCTCGCTGGCAAATCGGTGCGAAGGCAGCCGGGGCTACCAGAGCGCAGTTAACTCCGGGGCCCCCGACCCCCTTAGGGTGAGAGCTGAGGTTGAGTGTGTTGCTTCCAGGCTTAAAAGTGAAACTTCTTTTGCCATTTCAAAGTAATCATTTATAAAAGGCGTCTCCCATAACAATCAGAGGAAGGAGGCAGAAACAGTTTCCGTTTTTTGTTGCTTTTCGTGTTTGTAGTATTGGGGATTGAACCAAGGGCCTTTGGATCGAGTTACATCCCTAACGCTCCGCCTTCTTGAGAAACCGGAGGCGAGGTCTCACTTAATTGCCCAACCTGGGCTCGAATTTATGGTCCTCCTGCCTCAGTGTCCGGGATCTCAGGCATAGCACCGCTCCGGCTTTAAGGAGCGAGTTCCCCTTCTGTGCCTGTCTATGAAGTGGGGGTTTTACTGCAGAATTTGCTGGCGGGTGTTCGAACTGCATTGTCTGCCTTGCATGTGGTTGAAGCTACTGAATGGTACCGCTTGTAAGCACGGAATTTTAAATTACCTTTCCTCAGACAATCAAATTTTACATTATCTTTCCTCAGACAAATTAGAACGGTGGGTGTTATTAAACCCCAGCTTTTCACCTTTCCCTTGCATTTAAAGGGCCATCAAAAACAGAGAGGGGTGATAACCTAAAGCAGTCTCATTTTAGCCTTAGCATTCTCTGTCGCACAGCACCCTTGTAATATGAACGCGTTGCTTTTAATCGCAGAACGGGCAGTGTGGTGTAAGTCCTGATGGACGTACTGAATAGTGTATATTTTTGGTCTTGACAGCTGCTGTATATGAAATTAAGAGGTGGAAAGGGTACCAGGACTGCCTCCTGATTTCTGTCTTTGAGGTCAGAACAGGCAAGAACTTTCATATCCCCCAGACTGCAAGGCAGCATCCTGGATAGAAAATATATAGTTCCTGCATCCAAAGCAAAATAGACCAAGAAAAACCATATCCCATCCCTAGGTCTTAGACTAGTAGAGTTGGACCATATGGCAACACAAACCCCTGAAGTGTTCAGAATTACACCATGGAGCCCAGAAAACGATGGAAGTGGCCCCAGAGCCTGGGATTCCCGTGTGGTCTCTGTGTGCTGTTTCATTGCATGACTAAACGTAGGTCTTCCTTCCTTAAGGCAGAGGGAGTGCAGAGTGCTACCCCGAAGTGGTCCTCCTCCTGGAGCCCACTGGACACACTGCAGGCGTGCAGGCAGGAAGCACACTTATGCCTCTGATCCCCATTTGTCTTCCGTGGCACGCGGTGTGTAACTCACCACCACCATTTCATTGGTCATTTAGCTGCAAGTTGGGTTGGTGTAGGGGTGGGGCTGCTGCAGCTCGGCAGCAGAGAGGAGAGGAAAGAGCTGCAGAACCCAGAAATCCAGCCTCAGGTGCCAGCACACCACTTTGTGCACAGCGGTTCGCCTCCCACCCCACCCGGCAGGCCCTCAGCTTTGAGAGTGCTAACCACTGCTACCGGGAGGTTGCTGGATTTAAATACCGTGACATGTAGTGCCCCCAGCCCAGATGCGCTCTCCATCCACACCAGCCCCAGCACCTCCCTTTGTGAAAAACAAATGGTGACAGGGTTGGAGCTTAAATTCAGATTCCTCATTTTAGATCGTTCCGGTGAAAAACACCATGAGGCTTGGGACTGGCAGTGTAATATGTGGTGTGTCGTTCAAATCCACTGTCTCCTGATAGAATCCTGTTCAGATGTATTTACTGAATACCAGCCAGGTACTGGGGATGCATCTTGGAGTTAGATTGGTCCCTGTTTGTTTGTTTTTTTTCTTCTTTCCAGGCTCGTTGGTAGGTGGCATGTCTCATAACTCATCTATAAAGTTGAGGTTTTACTGTAGAGTTTCCTGGGAGGACAGGTAGGGACCCACCAATATGATAGTGAAACAGTCACAGGGTGGAGGGCGATGGGTAAGTTTAGTTTTCAGCTTGACTAGATTGAGACTGCTGGAAGCTGATGAGGGGTGCACAGCACACATCAGTGTTTTCATCCAGTGATGTTCTGAGCTGCAGCGGGTATTAGGTGGGGCCCAGCTGCGGGAGGGGGTCATTGCAGGTGGCCTGTGAAGGATGTGTCTTTCCTGCTCTCCCCTCGGCTCTGCTAGCTGGCTGCAGTGAACTGAGCAGTTTTTCTCTTCCACACCCTTCCACTACGATGTTTCAGTCTTGGAAACAGCAAACCATGAACTCAAGTTAGGAATACCGGGGGTTATGGTTTGTGTTTGGACGTCCCCCCAAAGCCTCATGCAGTTGGGGGGTGGGTTCTAGAGTTTGTGATTGATCCATGGTCCAGTGCTGGGATTATGGGTGTGAGTGGGGGCTGGCAGCCTGCATACAATGTAAGGGAGGGAAGGAGGCTGCTCTCACTGCTCCTCCCCTTCTGCTCTCCTTGCTTGTGCTGTCTTCCACTGTTCTGCCACGCGGCCCTGCCTTGGGCCAGCTGCGTATGGACTGAAACCTCTACAAACTGAGCTGAATAAAGCTTTCCTTCCTTAATTTTGGGCGTCAGGTGTTTTGTCTCAGCGAGAGAAAAGTAACCAAAACACCAGGTATTTTGTCCCCGAAACAAGAAAGGTGAATAATACGGGAAAGTGGTGAAAAGAGTCAGAAAAGGCTTTGTGGGAGGTAGATTTTAAACTCTAACATAGTTCCCTTCTAATAAAACAGAATTTGTATGTTGAGCCCTAGCCAGTGTGTTACGGACTAGGAGGTGTGGCCTTTGGGGCAAATTAGGCCTTGAAGAAAGAATCTTCATGAATGCAAGTAATGTCAGTTTTTTTTAAAAAGCCCCAGAGAGCTGTTTTCTTGCTTTCCACCATGAGATAAGGCACTATCTATAAATCAAAGAGCAGGCCCTCCTCAGACTAAGAAATGTTTCTGTTGTTTGCAAGCCATCCTCTCTATAGTATCTTGTTACAACAGATTAAAGACAAGCCCTTAGCTGAAAAGAGATTTTTTTACAAACCTGTGAAGACCTGAAGAAAGCTTGGAGTGGAAACAGCTACAGCGGAGGTCTGAGGAGGAAGTGAGCTCTGTGTCCCGAGAGGACACGTGACAGTGCTGATGCATGGGGAGAATGGGGTCGGGTCAGTGCAGCTTGTGATGCTAAAACAGGGCGCACCCTATGGTGACAGGATGGAGCTGCAGGTGGAGGCGGCACACTGTGAGCACATTTATTTGAAAGCTAGAAAAGCAGGAAACTAAAGCTCCTGCTAATGTGAGGGGTCCCACACAGGTTACTCACAAAGGCTTTTCATCCAGGGCTTTTAAGGCCTTCAGAAAGGAGCCTGGCCCTTGTGCAGGCCATAAGACCCCTACCCTTCAGGAAGCTGCACACTTTCCAGAGTCCAGTCTATGAAGGGTTCCCTCGGCCTGTGTGCCCTTGGGTCAGTGACCTGCCCGAACATGCGGGGTCACGCTCCAAATGCTCCGAGGAGGTCCCTGACAGCCACAGACATCTGGCAGCTGTTTTTGTGAGATTCCTGGGCGGTGATGACTGAGCACACTCCATTTTGGGGTTTCTGACTCCATTTTGGACCCACTGTCCTTACTGCTCAGTACAACCCTAACTCCTGTCCCGGGAGAGCCTTCGCTGTAGACCATGGTAAAGGGTTTGGATTTGATTCTAAATGTTCTGAAAGTCACTTAAGGGTTCTGAGCAAAGAAGAATGTGCGATATCCATTTCTAAGTTTCCCTTAGCGCTGTGTACAGCGTGGCCTGTATGGGGAGGGAGCTAGATCAGGCCAGAAGCCGGGTCACAGTGCCCAGGACTAGAGTGGTGGCTGTGGACATAGTGAGAATATAGAACAAAGATGGGTAAGAAAAGAATGGATGATTTTCTTACCGGGAGCACCCGAAAGGTGGTACTGCTAGGTGAGTCATTTCTAAACAGGAAGTAAGGGTCCATGTGTGACTTTGGAACGGGAAGCGGGGTGAGGGCGGGAAAGGTGAGGAGGGTGAGGAAAGAAGCCACCTGATATGAGAGTACTTAAAACAGGGCTTACGGTTCACCGCAGTGAGACGTGGTCCAGATGGGGGTGAGGACACCTTCTGTCGCATGGCCACGATGCTTGCCCTCGGGGTTCACACCTGGCATTGTCCAGGAGAACCTCAGGGAGACACTGTCCCCCAGGTTCAGCCATGGGCCAGTGGCATGCTTGCCCATGACCAGGCAGGTCTTTCCAAACACAGGTCTTCCAAAGACCAGACCGGTCTTCGGCATTCAGAGAGAGGGTAGTAACTGGACTGTGGTTTCCCTAGGAACTGCCCAGTTTTCACTTGGGAGATGAAAAAATAATTGGCTACTTCCTGTTTGCTGGGACAAGGAGGGGATGTAGTCCCATTGCAGGTGGGTGGTAGGCTACCAATGTAATGGCATTAAGGGAGGCACCAGGCTGTACAGTCTGGTTTGGGGAGGCTAATAGGCCCTTAACACTCTCCTCTTGGCTGTCTTGAGAGTGGCTAACAGAGATCTTCCAGATGAAAGTCCTTGATCGGGGTCTGAAACTGGGGGACAATACACAGGCTCCACCTGAAAACCAAATAACCAGTGAGCCTGCGTGTTTTTGCCTAGGGACACAGTGGCGTTTCGGGTAGGACAGTTCCTTTGCAGGACTGTCCTGAGCACTGCAGGACCTAGAGCGCATCCTCAGCCCCGTGCCCCAAAGCGCCAGCCGCACTCCCTGCAGTCTGTGACCACCAGAAGTGTGCTGTGTTTCCGGACGCCCTCAGCAGAGCCGCTTCACCCTTGGCTGGGGAGCCCTTGGTTACATCCGCAAGAGAGAGACTATCTGGTGAGCACACACAGGAGCAGCGAGGTTTCAGTACTGATCAGCACGGAGAAAGGGGGAAACAGGCGATCTTTGTCGATGCTGTTGGTGTGAGGACGTTTATTTTTATTTTGCTTTGCCGGGGTGATAGGGCGTGGAGAGACAGTAAATGGTGCAAATGCAGTATTTCATTTGGTTCTGATGGATGAAGCAAAAGCTCAGACCCTCATAGATAAGGAAATGAAGAAAGAGG